TGTTAAGTTGCTTACGGAGGGTTTGCCAGGGATCCACCAACGTTTCATTCCAAAGAAGCGTTTTGTGTGTTCAAGAGAGAGTACAAAACGCTTCTGGCGTTTTTTGCCTGGAAATGATGCCAAAAACACGTTTGTTTCAAAATTACATATCTACCATCACTGCAGTGAAAACTTGATCGCCCATGCTTGGTAAAAAAAATTGAAACCCTGGTGAAAACTTAGTGAAAACCTGGTGAATTTCCAAAACCTGATGAAAGCTTGGAGAAAACCCTGGTGAATTTCCAATACCTGGTGAATTTCCAAAATCTGGTGAAACTTGGTGAATTCACCGGGTTTTCACCAAGTTTTCACCAAACAAAAACAAAGAAGCGTTTTGCACCTCCAAATTTCACCAAAAAAGAAGCGGTTTTCCGTTTTTTTTTGTGAATTTTATGCGTTTTACGGTGAAATTTGGGTTGAATTTGGTGAAATTCCAAAACCTGGTGAAAACTTGGTGAAAACCTGGTGAATTTCCAAAACTTGGTGAAAATCTGGTGCATTTCGAAAACCTGGTGAATTTCCAAAACCTGGTGAAAGATCTGGTGAATTTCCAAAAACTTGGTGAACACCGGGTTATTTCCAAAACCTGATGGAAACCTGGTGAATTTGCAAAACCTGGTGAAATCTTGGTGAATGCCAAAACCTGGTGAAAACTTGGTCTCACCAAACAAACGAAAGAAACGTTTTGTGCACTGAAGGATTCTGGTAAAACGCTTGTTGCATTCCACACCCAAAATCGGATAATGAAAACGCTTGTTGCCTTCCAAAATTAACAAAGAAGCAACTTGACACGCGCACATCAGTGTGAACCTGCATATGCCGTGCAAGGGCTGTGATTTGTACAACTGAACACGTATTCTGGACATTTCTGGACAAGTCAAGAATCTTAAGAAAGATATAGACACGCTCCTTGCGAGCTTCACCAGAATGGCTTACAGAACCTCAGGATATTTCAGTTTGCTCCCTGAAGAATCACCATGCGGTGCGTAACGGTTTGTTCACCTTGCCCTCGAAGAAAATGTGGCCATTCAAGACAGTTTTCACGAAAGCTAGCTTGTGCTAGCTGAAGTTGCTCTTGCTTTAGCAAGGAATAGGCAGGCAAGGACCGTTGGAAACCCTGAAACTTTCAAGTTAGACCCCGGCAGGCCCAGGTTCGATCCCCCCTGGTCCCCCCCGAGAGGAGATTTCCGGCTGGTAGAGGGTCATCATCCTCATTTGTATCATCATCATCATCATCATCATCCTCATCCTCATCCTCATTTGTATCATCATCATCATCATCATCACCATCATCATCCCCATTTGTATCATCATCATCATCATCATCACCATCATCATCCCCATTTGTATCATCATCATCATCATCATCATCCATCATCCATCATCCATCATCCATCATCATCATCATCATCATCACCATCCTCATCCTCATCCTCATCCTCATCCTCATCCTCATCCTCATCATCCATCCTCATCCTCATTCCCATCCTCCATCCTCATCCTCATCATCATCCTCATTATCATCCTCATTGTCATATTATCATCCTCATTATCATCCTCTTTATCATCCTCATTATCATCCTCATTATCATCCTCATTATCATCCTCATTTTCCTCATCATCATCATCATCATCAACCAACAAACAAACAAACAAACATACATACGTACATACATACACACATACATACATACATACAGACATACAGACATACAGACATACAGACATACAGGCATACAGACATACAGACATACAGACATACAGACATACAGGCATACAGACATACATACATACAGACATACACATACATACACATACATACACATACATATACATATACATATACATACACATACATATACATACACATACATACACATATACATATACATATACATATACTTATAAATATACATAAATATACATTTACATGCACATACATACATACATACATACATATACATGCATATACATACATATACATACATGTACATACATATACATACATATACATACATATACATACATATACATACACATACATACATACATACGTACATACATACATACATATACAGACATACAGACATACAGACATACAGACATACAGACATACAGACATACATATACATATACATATACACATACATATATATATATACATATACAAACACATACATACACACACATACATACATACATACATACATACATACACACATACATACACACATACATACACACATACATACAATACATACATACATACATACATACATACTGTACATACATACATACATACATACACACACATACACACATACACACATACACCCATACATCCATACATCCGTACATCCATACATACACCCATACATCCATACATCCATACATCCATACATCCATACATCCATACATCCATGCATCCATCCATCCATACATCCATACATCCATACATCCATGCATCCATCCATCCAATCCATCCAATCCATCCATGCATCCATGCATCCACGCATCCACGCATCCATACATCCATACATCCACACATCCACACATCCACACATCCACACATCCACACATCCACACATCCACACATCCATACATCCACACATCCATACATCCATGCATCCATACGTCCATACATCCATACATCCATACAGCCATACAGCCATACAGCCATACATCCATACATCCATCCATCCATACATACATACGTTGCATTGTCTTGAGCATCTTTCGTATGCATACTGCAGATTCGGGCTTCCATTTGGGGGGCGTTGTTTTTTAATCGTGCGTTTCTTTTCTTACAAAACCTGGCGAGAGACGATTACTGCATTGGAGGGTTTTCGCTTGCTGGACCCAATAGATAGTTTAACCCTACAACAGCCCTGCTCATCATAATCATCATCCTCATTTTCATCCTCATTCTCATCCTCAGCATCCTCATCATCCTCATGATCCTCATCATCCTCTTTGTCCTCATCATCGTCGTCATCAGCTAATTCCTGGTACCATCACTTTCGTCATCATCAGTTTCCTTCATCGTTCTGGTCAGCAACCGCATCAACATCAAAATTGGCACTGTCTGTGACTTGCAGCCGTTTGTGACTTGCAGCAACTCCAAAAAGCCGCGTGAGACCGTTGCTGCATTCCGACTTCACCTTGCTATGTCCCCTTTACGATTACCACCCTACCCCAGCCCTGCTAGCTTTCGTACCTCCCCCCGGCCTCAAGTCTTCAATGCAGCAAGCTCTGCATGGTCTGAAGGATGATGGCAGGAATCAGCCCTGGACATGCTTGGGGAGCATGTTTGTATATGTTTGCGCAACATAGGCATCAACTTGGTTTACCGCGCTGGAGTGCTTTGAATTCTCCAAGGTCGACTGGATGAGAATCCCGTGGCTTCCATTGCTGCTGCAAATGTCCAGAATTCGTTTCGGGCAAGGAGCGAGCCCTGGCACAGGCACAAGAACAACATGAGCCAACTATACAAACGACGCGAGGAAGTTCTTGTTCCTTTGTAGTTGCAGCTTAGTGATGAAAGCGAAATTGTCTGTTACCCCTGTATGTTCAAGCCGCCCAGAATGCAAGCTTTGTTTGTAAAAATGTGTGTGCCCTTGGTTGGATACCTTGGTTGGATACGGGAGTGTGTAGGTGCTTTCGTGAGTTCCACATTGAAGCTGCCAACCTCACTGCTGCAGAGGACATGGGATACAAGGGGCAAGATGATTTATTGTATGGGTTTCGTATGGTTTTGTTGACAGTGTGTCACTTTTTTTCTGCGCTGAAAACATCTTCAGGCAATGGACTGCCATTTGCCTCTTTAGTTGGGGGATGTTGGGAGATGTTGGGAAAAATTCTGGAAGGAATGACCGAGATTTACCCAACAGCATTGATGGTATTGACTGTTGAGTTTTAATCTCTGGGTCTGGAAGCGGTGCGTTGTTTGGCGCAAAACTGAACAACGGAAAGGCTGGAAACCTGGAACCTGCGGTTGGGTTGCTGGGAAAATATGAACGCTTGGAGGCTAGACACACCATGAGAATAACCTATGAATCATTGGTTTGGTAAAAACTTATAGTAGGAGTTGTGGTGGGTCTGCAGTAAGTCCTTCACTGTAGCAGGACATATATGATTCTCGTGGCTATGCGGTGAGGAAGGATTGGGTGAATGGGCCCAACAAAGTCTTTCGTTTCATTTTGCAGAGCGGCTTGGATGGCAAATGGAAGAGCATTTCAAGATGTCGAAAGCATGATCGCGATTGATCACGTATCACGTAATATCTTGGAACATTGCACAGATCAAAACAGATCAAAACAGTCGTGACATGTCGTGGCAAAAGTTTCGGGTAAAGTTTTTGTGCCGGATGTTTCGGATGTTTCGGGGGCCGGGGCTCATTTCGAGCAGCCGACTCAGCCGACTCAGCTGACTCAGCCGACTCCGGCAGGCTTTTTGGAGAAATCCTTTGTATCCGACTACGAAGCCTTTTTCTTCATGGAGCCTTGGCGCGTGTATCAAAACATATCAAAACTAGCCTGCTTCCTCAGGTATTACTAGGGTTGGCTGATATTGGATATGTAACATGATATGTATCGATGCGTACAATGTCTTGAACTTACTCAGTGTACATCTCAGCACCAGTGGACTCATGTAAGAAACCAGAACCTTAGTTTTCTCGCCGAAACGCCCCCCGCTTTGCAAAGGGAACAGTGCGGCACAAAGGGCACAGCGCGGCACAGTGAAAGCCTTGAGGAATTTGACTCCACTCCTCTCCGTCCATTTTGGCTGGACCAGTTCTATGCTGAGGCAAGTGCCTCATTGCAGCCATTGTCGGGTTTATAGCGGCATCATTATTGTACCATTACAATACCATTACAGTACCTGTTTTGAATGTATATAGATGATGTTTGTAGTGAAGATGTGAGCTTTGATATCAACTTACGACAGAGCTGGTTGCGAAGCTCTTTATCGCTAGTGAAACGGTGGGGAAGTAGATTGGAGCGAAAGCGGAGAACGTGACCCGTAGGAATTGAGTCTTGAAATGTGATGCAATCAGTCATAGTCAAGCAATCCTTCAGAGATGAACCCGCTTGCAGCCAACGGCTAGGAGGGGCAAGTCTGCCAGTACTTTGTTTGCAGTCCAAAGATGTCAAGGGTTGTTCTGGAGAGCATGTCAAGCGCAGGTCTTCCAATATCCTCGCGCAGCGATTCGCGGCAGCCGCTACAGAGGAGACTCCTGGGACAACTTCTTGCATCACATCCCCAATTCGTCACATGGCATCACATCGGAAGATGTGGCAAATTGGGCGGCTTGTTGCAAGCAGCGACTTCCACGATTTGACAACTTCTTAACTGAGGTTGTTGTACCATATGAATGGCAATGCCATTTATTTTCTGCGTCATCCTTGGCTACGTTTTCTTGCACAGAAGCTGGAGGAGCGAGGAGGGAATGGGGGCAAAGATTGAAAGACAAAGTTTTTGTTACAGGGATAGATAACAGTTGTCAGAAGCAGCTTCAATCCCTCCATGCTACTTTTAGTTCAAGGGCAAAAGAGTCAGTAAACACAGGGAAAGCTTTTTTTTTGCATGGGTGCTTTTTTCAGCAACACCCACTGGGCCAATATTTGTTGAGATTTTGACACGTGACAGATTTGCCGCCAACATTGCATAGTATCCATCAAGAAGAATTGCAGCATTGTTACGAAGTAGATTTAGGACCATTGGGACCCATTGGGGCAGCCTAGGGCTCGATCTGCTGTGTTCCCACACTAAGATTCTCCACCACGCATGTTTGCTGCCACAAGCGGCATGGCAAGGAAGAGGCAGCTTCGGAAAATGGAAGTGTCTTGGAGAATTGGAGAGCGAGCTTTACTGTATTTACATGTATTTACTAAATTTTACTAAATATTTACCATGCTTCGTTTGCTTCGTCATGCTTTCCTACAGGGTGGTTTGATGAGTTGGATGTATTACATCCCCGCTCTACAGCATTTTGCTACCGTTCACTCTAGACAGCTGCAATCCTGGCAGTCAGAAAGAAAATGTGTTGTTTCCAATCTGGAACACTGGCGGACGAATATTTGAGAGTTGCGGATTGAAGAGGATGATTCAGCAGAGAGAGTGCCCTTCGAGCATTTCTTTATTGATGTGTTCAGGTGAGGATCCCAATTTGCACAGATCTCAAAGTAGGGGGAGTAGAGGATCTCTGCTTCTCTGCTATTGAGGCTGAAGTGAGATGATCTTTTTAATTTTTAATCTTTTTATTTTTTTGGCGGCCTGCTAATCAGCATGATGCGCACTATGCTAGGAAAGCGCCCTCAACCTTACAACAGAAACCTCTGACTCACGATACTCACGAACCAAGTTATGGCCAGCCGACTCACTCGCAAGCCCGTTGGGCCCGTTGGGCCTGTCGACCCCTCACTATGCAGGTCAATGATTAGCGAACCCACCATCTCGCCCACCGGCTGCCTCACTAGTCAACTGTTTCGTAAGTGCATTCACCAACTCCCAAACATCATCAGAAATGCGACGCAGTAGCTACATATACTCAAACAATCTCAAACAGGCCAATAAAGATCACTAAAGAACATCCGCTGGCATAATATGGCATGATATGGCCTGCCAGCAAAAAAAACTTTCCTGCGTGCAGTGACCTGCGATGACCACTGAACGCGTCACCAGTTACAGTTGGACAAGAGGAACGACGGAGTTGCACAATTCAGCAGTCGCCCAGTCACGGTGCTACCCCATTGGCCTGAGGAAGGTAGATTGCATCCTTTGGTGCAAATCGAACTGTCATGCCTGATCAGTATTTCCCTAGCCCATAGGTCAAGAGATACCTTTGCATACTGTATATAGAGATTGCGAGAAATCTGGTACTCTACGTCCTTTTGAGCGTGTAATTACTGAGAGGAGTTTTCGGTCCAGTCCTGCCAGTACGTCACTCTACGTAGAGGTTGTTGTCCTGAAGCAGGTATTGCTTTCGATGTGCGAATGGCACAGCTGACCCTCGAAGCACCAACGCGAGACAGCCTCAGCTGGTGGAACAGTGTGTTTGAGAAGGTCTCAAGATGTTTCAAGGCATTTTTCAAATTTGTGGATAGTAAGAGGAGATGTGACGCTGAAAGTTTGCCGCTTGCACCAAACAACGCTACAGGCGATGGTCTTGCCATGTCAGTAGCAAGAGTTTGCAACATGATGCAAGCTGAGGAAGTGATTTGCAAACTGCATGGACACAGAACGTACCGGAAGGCGTGGAGTTGCGGCATGTCCTCACATGTGCAACATAGATGCTTTCCAAAAGTAAAACAGTATCCACAAGCGAGATGCAAATAGTGGCAATTGATTAAATTGCCCTGCACTTTGACTTCGCAGCTTTTGAGTCCGGTGATGCAGGAGAGAATCCGTATCAAGATGATTCGTTGCTGGTGGGCGGCTTGCTTCAGACAGTTTAACAGACCTCTACTGTATTGCACAGGATTTTTTGCAGCCACCGTTACCTGTATGATTTAAATTGATTTAACTTATATAATTCTTTGCTCTACGCAGCCTGCTGGACTGTTCCATGCCTGCTCCCTTTTGTAGCTTCATGTGCTTGGACGTCGAAGGGTGCTAGCTACTTGAGGTAACTATGCCAACACCTTGTTGAACGACAGCTTCGAACCACCAGAATTTGTTGCTATGCGAATTATTGGCTTGAAGTAGGGAGTCATTCCATGTCATTCCTACTTTTCCAGACAGTGAATAGCAAGAGCGGTTTTGGAGTGAACATGATCGAGCAAGAACGGCGGCGGCTTAATTGCCAATGTCCAAGCAAGGACTTCGAACTTCAGACCTTTGGACAGTTTGGACGCCAAGCCTTGAATTTCACTGGTTGAAACAATGGTTGAGATATGTTGAGATTTCCTGCTTGAAGGCGAAATGTAGAAATAAGATTGCCACCAAGTTTGACAGTGTTGCTCCTGCGCTTTCAGATGAATCCGGCCTTCATCTCAGGTTCGTCATGGAGCTTTGGCCAACATTTTGGAAAACCTGGACAATTCGTTGGTCACTCTGCGCATTTGATTTTGGCTAGCGCAGGAACAAAACATACCTTTTTTCTTGGTCAGTTCGAACGTTTTGCTGCATTCTTTGCTTTCTTTCTCGATATTTGAAGGAGAACTCAAGACTGCACATCCCATTGATGTCCTGGCAGGTGAATGTTGCTACAGAAACTGACAATGATGTGAACAACTGCAGGTGACATTGGCAGTGCAAGCCTTCCACCAGGCAAATGCAACCTTGTTGGTGGAGAGTCTCAGCGAATCTGATTTTGGCGTCTTGGCAATGGTCTAAGCTGCAAGCGGGCAAGCCGCGGCAAGACAGATCAAGACAGCCAATCGTGCAATGATGAAGAGTTGCTTCGCGGTGCAGCCCTAGATGCATTTGGACGTTTTTGTTTTCCGCCGTTGGGATTGGGAGTTCTAATGGATTCTAATGGGCTTCGAATCAGCACAGCTGTCACGATCTGTGTGGAGCACAGTGGGTCATGAGCGGTGCTGTGTGCTGTGGCGCTGAGGAGAAGTTGTCGTGGTTTCATCCGTGGACTTTGCACCCCCAGGCTTGACATTACCACATTTGAGGTAAGAGAATTCAAGACGGACGAAGGAAGGGCGAAGGATTAACATGCAGCATATGTTGTCCCATTTATATAAATGTTTTGGAACATTAAGATACATGAACATGATGTTATATAGAAGATTGTAGTGGATTGTGGTTGAGCGTTGTATGGCGTATTTAATCTATGATTTATTCATTTTAACTCTTGTGTGTTTGTTGTTTTTTGTTGTTCTTCTTCTTCTTCTTCTTGTTGTTCTTGTTGTTGTTCTTGTTGTTGTTGTTGTTGTTCTTGTTGTTGTTGTTGTTGTTCTTGTTCTTGTTCTTGTTCTTGTTCCTGTTCTTGTTCTTGTTGTTATTGTTGTTGTTATTCTTCTTCTTCTTGTTGTTGTTGTTCTTGTTGTTCTTGCTGTTCTTGTTGTTATTGTTGTTATTGTTGTTATTCTTCTTGTTGTTGTTCTTTTTCTTGTTGTTGCTATTGCTGCTGCTGCTGCTGTTGTTGTTGTTGTTGCTGTTGTTGTTCTTGTTCTTGTTCTTGTTGTTGTTGTTGTCGTTGTTTTCTTTTGAGGCAGATATTCATGTCAGTCAGTATATTCTTTGAACAAGTTGCAGCAGGCACAGGGCCTTCGCTGCGCGTTGTGCCGGCCACCCTGCCAGAGCACATGGCATTGTGTGATTTGGCGGCCGCCGTTCACACCGAATATTTATTGTCGCCCGGCAATGATCGGCAAGTCTTTTTTGGGGTTCTTATTTCTCCGATTTTTGCACGGCTTGTTTTTTGTGTTGTTTGCAACACAAGAATGCACAAGACAGCCACCTGGCATTTGCAAAACATGCGATAGAGCATCAGCGGACAAGAAATCCAATAGAGTTCTGCACAAAGATAAGCAGTGCCCGTACAACCTATCACTGTCCAATCTCCTCTACATTTCGATGACTATCATTTGAGATTTGAATGTGTTTGATATGTGTTCATGCGTATGCTGCGAATATATTGAATACACACATGCATGCATGCATCATACATATATAAGTGCATGCATATGAGACAAATTCTGTTCGAAAAGGGAACCTTAATGCCCAGGCTCGAATTTTGTAAACGTCCCGGAAAACCTCTGCAACAGTGGTTATAAACAACCTATGCAGATGCCTGGCGAGCTCTCAATCAACTACACCCATTTGACATGGACAACCCTGCACATAGACAACTAGTCAGTGACCTATAGTTTTCGAGAGAATGAGAGTCTTTTCATGATTCATCACCGAAAATCGTCACCGAAAATCATCACCAAAAAGCAGAGCGCTTTCGCCCTGCCCTGCCAATATGCTCCATCGTAGCTGGCTTTATCGCTTTTATCTTCAAATTTCAATCATGTCTCCTCCACTTTAGTATTAAAAAAAGGCGCTGCAAGGTATATAATGATAGTTTTTGCATGTTTTCACCCTTTTTACGAAAGGTAGCATCAAGCTACCTGAGTTCTCCGCTTGCTGTGCAAGCTACTTTTCCTTTTGTATGGGGTCGGTGAGGATTTATTTGGAGCGTTCAAGTATTGGTTTCAGTCCTTGTCCCAGGCTTCCCCCCCTCTATCGCCCATCTCTTCTCTTATCACGAAAGCTAGCTTGTGCTAGCTGAAGTTTCTCTTGTTTTAGCAAGGAATAGGCAGGTAAGGACCGTTGGAAACTCTGAAACTTTCAAGTTAGCCCCCCCTGGCAGGCCCAGGTTCAATCCCTCCCTGGCCCCCCCCGCCCCCCCCAAGAGGAGATTTCCGGCTGGTAGAGGGTCATCATCCTCATTTTCATCATCATCCTCACCCTCCTCCTCATCATCATCATCATCATGCATTGTCTTGAACACCTTTCATATGCATACTGCAGATTCGGGCTTCCATTTGGGGGGCGTTTTTTTTTTTTAATCTTGCGTTTCTTTTGCTTACAAAACCTGGCGCGAGACGATTACTGCATTGGGGGGTTTTCGCGTGCTGGACCCAATAGATATTGCAACCCTACAACAGCCCTGCTCATCATAATCATCATCCTTTTTTTCATCCTCATCCTCATCCTCAGCATCCTCATCATCCTCATCATCCCCATCATCCTCATGATCCTCATTATCCTCATCATCCTCATCATCCTCATCATCCTCTTCGTCCTCATCATCGTCGTCATCAACTCATTCCTATCAACATCAAAATTGGCACTGTCTGTGACTTGCAGCCGTTTGGGACTTGCAGCAACTCCGAAAAGCCACGTGAGACCGTTGCTGCATTCTGACTTCACCTTGCTATTCCCCCTTTACGATTTCCACCCTATCCCAGCTCTGCTAGCTTTCGTGCCTCCCCCCTGGCCTCAAAGTAGTGCTATCGCACGCGCTGCCTTCGTCGCCATCTTCTCCCACCTGTTCGCTATGTCCTCACCACCATTCTTCCCATCATTCTTTTCAAACAGAGAAATGTGAAACAAAGACCATGTATTGAATTTCCAATATGTGCGCAGGTTACCTTTGCTGAGTTGCTTATAAGTTCACAAAAAATCCTTTGTAATTTAACTATATAGATCAGATCAAATACACACACACAAGCTCCCAACTCCCATAAGTCGATTGCAATTGCTTTAAATATCACCTAACAAATCCTAAAAACTAAACAGCCTAACAGGAATTACAATATATAGCTTATAACCTACTTGTAACAAAGTTTGCCAGTGCCTACCAATGCTCTAACTGACAACTGGTCACCTAGCAGGTGCACCCTTGCTGCGCATAGCCATGCACAAAGTCGCATTCTGCGATGCACGGACACTTCTGCATACAGAGGTATAGCACAACCATTCCTTTCTCCACCACCTTACTTCGTCCCACTCCCGAACACAGTTGCGCATGGCTCGGCAACTGGCTTCATATGATATGTCTCCTCTTCCTCCCTCTCACCATACCCGAAACGCCGACCCCGGCTCGGCCAACCTCCTCTGAGAACACCTTGTTGAACTCTTGTCTCGCATCTAGAACAATCTCCAGGCCATTAACAACTGCAAGCTACCGACATGTACTGACGCCTTACACACATACATGCATACAAACACACATGCACTCCACCTACTTTCCTAAATACCTACCTACGTACCTACGTACCTACCTACCTACCTACCTACCTACCTAGCTACCTACCTGCCTGCCTACCTGCCTCCCTAGATAGATACATGCACCGATATATGCATACATACATGCATGCATGCATGCATGCATGCATGCATGCATAAATACATACATACATACATACATACCACATATACACACATACACACATACACATATACACATATACACATATACACATATACACATATATACACATATATACACATTTACATGTACATATTTACATACATACATATTTACATATTTATTATAAAAGGGCTAACGCCCTGGTCCCGCCGACCCCCTTTCAAGGGGGGAGGAAGGAATGCGTCATATATGAATCCGTAGAACCCAAGCGACCTGTCGGACCCGAGTTTTGAAAAAAAAGTACAGGTCTCTTAGGAAAGTGCGGCAGTTTGTAAAATATTGGATTTCGCACATTTGCAAGAAACATTGATAAGCCAGCATCAGATTGATCAATCTATGTGGTATTCAACATGGTTCCCATAAGCAATAAATGATACCTCTGGCACCTTATTGGTATGATCACCACAAACCACCCTTGACACACCACGATCCCATTCGCTCCTTCGGTTTTCGCCTGAACCCCATCCTGCTCAAAGACCTTTGTTTGGGAAACCCTGACAGCAACCCCGCATAACTTGTAATGCAGTGGTGAAATTAATTTGGGATCTAATCCAATCTCATCTAATTACTTCCAAAGAGTAAGCAATGGTTAATCTTGCTGAGCAGGGCTGCTCAAAGCAACTAAACAGCTACACCTCGCGGATGGCAAACAAGCCACTCTGATCACAGTCAGCTGTTGAGATGAATGATCTCTTACAGACACGCAAATAGATTTGGCGAGGGGCCACACGTCTAGTCAAGCGGCTTGGTCTCCCTATCCAGTGTTCATGTAATTGCACGCTTTCCGATACGGGGCCCCGCAAAAATAAGCGTTGAAAATCCCCTACATGTCCCACACAAAAATATATCTATCACATATCGGGTTTAATATACAGATTGAGGTTCGCTTTTACTTTTCACATGCATCCAATTGATGCCATGGTGCCACATGGGTGCACTGGGGTGCAGCACAGAGAAGCAAGACAGGAAAACGGGTGTGCCCATGATATGCCCTCAAGGGGTACCCCAGGCGAGGCACAGCCGAGGAATGGGAGGCAGCAAGAAACGGGCAGAAAAACGAAGCGTGAACATGAGAGCAGTGCCTGGGACATGTGGTGCAAACGGAAAATGGGCATGGCTAACGCAAGAAAAGCAAGGGGAGAAGCAAGAGACACATGAAATGCCGGTGCCGCCACCATCGAAGCGGATGAGAGGGAAGCAACCTCCCGCACGACCATCTGTGAAGGTTGAGGAAAGCACAAGCGGAGGAGATCAACAGCTGGCGGCCAAAGATGCAGTGGCCAGTCGGACAGTGACATGTGGTGACCTGGGCTTGCATGCAAGGGAAGAGACCCAGAGGCTGCCGCAAACAGGCACGGACAGGAGAGCGGCGGGCACCGGGCCAAAGCGACGGCTACGGACGAAAACGCCAGCGGCGGTAGCCCTAGAGTATTCTTCGGAGGAAGGACAGGAAGAGGAAGATATGAAAGCACCAGCAATGACCCAAGACAAGCGGATGAACAAATTGTTCAGTTATTGAGCCAATGCATCGCAGAAAAGCCAGCATTACCATGGAATTGCCAAAATGCAACGGACAAGCTGACAGCCTATGATTTGCCATGGGCGCATTGCAGCTTCAAGGGATGCAGTTTTGCTGCTGAAACTGATGATGCAGTGCCGGCGCACATCCTTGAAGCGCATGCGGCAAGGTTGACGGCGGCTTGTGTGGACGGCGTAAGCAACGAAGCACTGCTGCGATTCTATCGCGCAGCAATGACACGGAGATGTCAAAGCGGAGCGCCGGTGGCGAATGCATTTATCGACCGCCGGGCACTGCAACGATATCAGCATGCCCGGGACCGGGAAAGCGACGAGATTTCATCTTTGCTGTGTTTTGTCTGTGCGGGGAAATACCCGTACCTGAGAAGTGGCCGGAACCAACAGATTGCCTGGGCACAGCCAGTGCATGGAAAGAATGCGACAGTATACTACAGGAGGCCGAGAAGCTGCTGGGGATGGAAACATTTATGAATCGGTACGTTTCCCAAGAGACACCGTTTGAGCAGCAAGAAATGAAGCAGGAGTTGCAGGACTGGCAGTGTGAGGTTCAAATGGGTACGGTCTCGATCAAGATTGTGCGTTGCCCTGAAGACGAAGTCTGCGCAAAGCGGTGCAATGATCAAAGACTATGCCCACAGTGCTGGGTGCCCCTGTGCAGAAGTTGCCAAGAAGATCTTGTTCGGAACAGGGCCGCGGCACTGAGCAACGACATGATGATATACTATATGGCCCTAAAGAGGCATGTCGTGAAGAAGTGACCGTTATGGAGATGCTCTGCGCAAGCCCTTGTCTCACAACCATGATTTGCTTCAGCTTGGAGCAAAAACTTCGCGGGGACCGTGCGTTGGACCAGGATGCGTGGATGAACCCGTATCGCATGGCCGCACAGG